AGCATAGAGGGAGGGTGGATTCAAAAGGGGGAACCAATTACAAGTAACAACATGTGACCTCCTCCCTGGAGGACGGACAACAGAAAAGTGGGTGAAGGGAGACATCGACCAGGGCAAAATATGAAATATAATAATTTATAAATTATCAAGGGTTCATGAGGGAGGGGGGAGCAGGGAGGGAGGGGAAAAGATGAGCACCTGATGCCAGGGGCTTAAGTGGAGAGCAAATATTTTGAGAATGATGAGGGCAGTGAATGTACAAATGTGCTTTACACAATTGATGTATGTATGGATTGTGATAAGAGTTGTATGAGGCCCTAATAAAATGATTGGGGAAAAAACAAAGCAAAAAAAACAACATGCATAGTAAATTTCAGTGTGTTGTGATTCGCTTTTGACACTAGATACTAGTATATTAGAGGAGAATTAAGTGCATTGACTTGGGAATTATCAAAAAAGTGTTAATATTTGAAGAATCCATTAACTAGCCACACTTCCATTCTTTCTGCCTTCCTGAACCCACCTCATTCCCATTCCCATCATCCTCACACACACCCCGCCTGGATATAGTCATGAACATCATCAGGGCTCAGCCAAAATGACCACAGTCAATGAACTTGATTCCAACATCATCACACACTGGGCATGGTAGTTACATAATTTGGCGTCAGTTTAAGTGGATTACAAGTGAAGGGGTGAAGTCTGGCCTGTCAATCAAAATGTAACCAATGAGGCCTCTGTGTGGGCATGGTCTACTCCTGAGAATTCTGGGAACTCCTGTATTTTTCTGCCTTGGAGGCCAAAGACATCTCTCTCTCTCTCTGCTGACTCCCTGTGAGACATCCCTGAGGAGAAACCACATGAACCTTCCCTGATGCAGCCCTGGAAGGTGGAAGAAGCTGCATGGATACCCATGCCAGCATGGAGACTCTTACACCGCCACTAGATGCAAAGACTTCCCACCCACTGGCCTGTGATCGTCCTGCACTCACCGTCGTTGCATGTGTTTCCTGAGTCTGAAGAGGACTTTATAGATTGGTATCGTATCGGACATATAAGCTAATGTCGGACTTATGGACTTGATCTGGACTGGGCTTGGATGTTTTCTCAATATTGAACTGCTCTGGTATATAAAATTCTTTCTTACACACATATGCATGTTTATGAATTTGTTTCTCTAGTCTACCCAGACTAACACAATCCTTATACTTCAATGCTGCCGTGTACACATTGTGATCAAGAAGAGATTATAAAACATGGCGATGAGTGAGGCCTCTTCAAAGGAAGAATCCTAACATTTACTTAATGCTGATTCTCCCGGTCTACAGAGACTGGTGTTTCAGGAGAAGCACCGTATTTTATTGTTTGATTTTCATTATAGTAATGCCTTAGTATTAGATTTTATTTTTCAAAAATCTGCCCTGCCTCTTTAGGCTGATGCCAGCTCACATCACAGTGGTAAGTGGACATGGAAATTTATAATCACCCCTGCCCTGCTGGTTGGGTGTCACCGAGGCCCTATAGGAGCAACTGCTGCTTCTCATTTCAGCACCACTGGTAAAATGCTCCCAAGCGGGCTCCAGGGAGAAACAGGTCTTCTGAGAAGCATTGATTTCATTCTCTACTGTTTACTACCTATGATCCCAGTCCGTGGCCTTCCTTTAGCCCACTCTCAAGGCAATAAGATATGATGAGCTATGATAGCAGGAGTCAGCTAGCCATGTTGTCAGGGTGCCACTATGGAGATCTATGCCACCTAGAGATCTATGAAGTTGTTTTTTGGTTTGGTTTGGCTTTTTCCCTAAAAACAGATCAACTGCCTTATCAGTCAACCAATCACAGAGTTTAGGTGTGATTTTCTACACTCCTCTGAAGATCACTTAGGCAATCTCACAAGATTCTCTGAAACACGCTGTTGTCCAGAAGTTTCCAGGGGTTCCTGGACGTGGGTATCATCGAGAGTCCTTTCTCAGACTCTAGACCAAATGAAACTCTCCCTGACTGGATTTGACTACTGGAAGATTAACAAGGTTTCTGGAAGGTGGAAAGGAGTTCATTTCTAGCACAATAGTGCACCCAGGGTTTCTGCCACCCAGCTTACTTACAGGGGAACAGCTGATGGGCATAGCAGAGCCTTCCGAGTGCTAGGGAAAGAGAAGAGACATCACCTAGTTGTATTGTTCTATGAAGAATCACTGGTACATCAAGGCCAGTGTAACCCAAGAGTCCAAGGAATCAATAAATATGTATGCAGGACTTATCTGAGACAAAGCCACCTCAGGATTTTATCAAACGCAGTTGACCATTATCTTAGAAAGTCAGTAGTTAAGTCAAGCATATGGTACCTCTCATGTTCACACTGTGAAACCCAGTTGTCTCCTTTGTACCAACAAGAATTGAAATAATACACACGCCAGATATGAAACAATAAAAAATCTCCTCCATTCCCCTCCCAGTAATACAGAGAGAAAAAAGCTGTCTTCAACCTTCTTCCGGGTCTGAAGGGAGATGAAATCCTCTCCTAGCCCTCTTGCAGGAGTGGGGTGAAATTAAATCCACAGTCAGTGCTCACAGACACAGCAGTTAAGAATGCACCTGATGTATTGGTTTGGGCAAATCAGCTCCACACAAAGTGAACCTGCCACACTGAGGACTGAGGTACACCTGGCCCACGCTGTGGCATTTCCAATGGCCTCCTCTGCACGTGAAAACTGGGCGGCCCCACCCTGTCTCGGATTAGAATTGAAGGCAAAGTACATATTCACCTTCATGAAATGATCACTGCCAGCAAAGTGTGGAGAAGAAAGATGATGGTGCCCAGCTATCCATGGGAATAGTGTCTGGGGTCTTAAAGGCTTGTATTCAAACAAGCAATCATCTAAGCGAGGAGTCCATTACGTCCACACAGAAGAAGCACCCCAGCTGTGTGATCCAAAGACGACCGTTACGGATCTTGAAAAGACTCAGAGCAAAAACGATGCGCACCCAATTGGTGGAGGGCGGAAGGTAAGGGTCCATAGCCCACCTGCAGCGTGTCTGGTCGGACGGAGCCACCGGCAGATCCTCTGTAGCCACAGGCAAGTGTCTCCATCAGCCTCACCATCAGGCAAAGACCATGTCATCTTGACGATGCTGGATGGAACTGGACACTTGCCCGTTCACCACTCTATAGATGCAACCTGAATGTGTTCTGGGGCAAGTAGTTCTTACCGGCTCCATGACAGAAATTTCTTCCCTGGCTTTTTCATTCTTGTTGGGGGTCTTTTCCTTCTTATGCATTATTAGTTGTTTTGTCTGTTATGCCATTATGTATTTGCCCTTACCACCTTAGGGCGATTTTGTTTTCTAATGGGTCTCCCAGCTGTGAAGCACAGGAACAGTGGGTGCATAATGATAAAAAGGGATGCAAGTGGATATAGGGAACACCGGAGTGGGGGTGGGAGGTGGGGAGGGAGAGGGGATTTGGGGAGTAACTAATGAAAACAGAGGTGGGGGAGGGAGCACTAGAATGGGCTGTGATTGCATGACTCATCTTAAAGGCGATTTGTCCATGGGGGAGGAGGAATGTTCTAAAATTGATATGGGGGTGATTGTCAAATTCTCTGTGATTTGATTGAATGATTGAATTATATGATATATAAATTACTTGTGAATAAAACTGCCTGGGGGGGGGAAGAATTGAAGGCAAGTATTCCTTCCCCAGGCACCCTTCTGCCTCACACTGTGTCTGCACCTGCCCTCACCAGTGGAAAAGGTGTCATTCCCACTGCCAGGGCACAGGACCCTTAATCCTGCTTCTCCTGCCTCCTTGAGTATCTTACCCCATTAATTGAAGTCCATATAGTTTCCTCTCCAACATCACCCTCTCTCTGTAAATGTGCACAAATATGAGAAGACTACAAAAAGTTCATGGGGGTGGGGGGTGGAATTATAAAGGAATTTTTCCGTGAACTTCTTGAAGCCTCTTCAACATCCTAGAAATCCTCCCTTCCGTTCAGAGATGTCCTGGTGTTTGGTATCTCTCACGCTCTTGCCCACCTTCGAAAAGTGATTACTTTATGTGCAAAATCTCACTGAGTTCCTCGTACTTTGTAGCAAGCATCACACTAGATGTCAGGAAGATCCCCAAGAATCTTCCTTCAAGTAAAGGAAACAGGGACTTCCTTCAAGTAAAAGAAACAGGGACACCCCCTGCCTAAGGGGAAAATACAGTATATTACTATTTATAAGTGCTGTTAAGAAACTAGGTGCTGGGCAGGGAAAGAAAGAGGGAGCCGTAATAGAGATTGACCAGAGACCCTACCGTAGGCAGGGCTGGGAGAGGAGGCCTTTGAAGATTGAAGGAAGAGCGATCCTGGCAGAGTAGACCAGATGTACCAAAGCCCTTGAGGCAGGAAAGATCTTGGCTTACATTCAGAGGTGAAAAGCCATGTAGTTCAAGTACACTGAACAAGGAACCAGGGTGACCTCGGAAAGAGAGACAGAGACTAGATGAGGAATGCCGTCCGTCCTGAGTTTAGACTTCATTACAAATCCAATGAGCAGGGGTTGAGGGGTCTTAGAGGGGAAAAGGGAAATGGTACCCCTTGCAGTTGTAGGGAGGAAGAACTGGGGGGGGAGGTAAGAACAGTTTGAGTGATTGCCGAAGCATTCTGAGAGAACAAGCATATTGACTCTGTTGAACTCTAAATCCAGGGTGCTTGCTATCTTTTCTGAATCACTGACAGTTATCCTCTTACTTAAATAACCTTTCTTTGAGTGCACTTGGAGAAAATGGAAAATTGTGTTAAAGGAGAGCCACAAGTACGTAGGTTATTCCCTTCCTTAAACAAAGTCGAGTTCTGTTCTGCGTCATGGAAAATTAAAGCACAGTAATAAAATTCACCAACAAGACGTGCTGACGAATGACTTAGTGGAAAAGTTGCTTTGCCTCCCGTTCATAGATGCTAACTTTTCCTCTCCAGGACTTAAGCTGTACGTTCTATTTGTTTTGTTTTTAGATTACATTGACAACGATTGGGTATGGAGACAAAACCCCCCTCACTTGGCTGGGAAGATTGCTTTCTGCAGGCTTTGCGCTCCTTGGCATTTCTTTCTTTGCACTTCCTGCTGTGAGTATCTGGACAAACATAGAACCGTTTGAATTCAGTCTTGAAGGTTTGTAGGGTAACGCGTCATAAGCTGATATGCCTGTCATTGTATCTTCATCACTTATCATTTTTCCTATTGTGATATTGATTTTTCTAAATAATCTAGTTGAATAACGTACAGGATGTGACTTCCCTTGGAAACTCTTCACGTGAGAATTTAATGTCTCCTAAGTGCTTATAACCAAATCACAACCCACAGGCACCGCCTCTTAGCATGCTGCAGATCCATTTACAATCATTGCACCATCGCAAAGACATTCCATGTCAGCTGACAGCCCCAGCTTGACTCGTGGTGTGTGTGACTAAGGAGGGCAGCACGCGCAAGTGGAGGATTGACCTCTTTAGGGCCATTTGAGTGAAAAGCTTGTGACCTTAAAGTGTTTTAAATGTACCTGATGATTTAGTCTCGGTGTCAAAATCACTGATTTTTCTTAATGAGAAATGTCTGCATTTTATCAGAATGACATGCATATTTATCTTCCCCCAACCTTCTAGTTATTTTCTCCTTAAGGGATGAAGCTTGACATGTGATCATTTTACCCTGTTTCTCCTAGACAGTTGGTCAGCAGTTTACTCGAATGCCAACTGGAGGCATGGCTAGTTTCATCAACGAAGTACCCAGCACCTATATACTGAAACTCTGGGCCATCTTGCAGAGGTTAATCTGTGTCCAGATCTTGGGATACATTCACAGACTCCATAGTCATCCCACCAAGTGCCTTCATTTTAAAAAATACAAGAACAAAATTAATACAATTGCCAAGAAAAGTAGCCTTTGCCATGAATCTTTTGACTGAACTCCCGTAGTAATTGCTGAGATCTTGTTTATTGAATGAAAGATTAAAACATTGATATTTACCTTTTGAAAAAATAATGCTCACTGTGGAAAGTAAAAGAAAACAGAGGAAAGATCTAGGAAGCAAAGCTATGGATCGAGGTATAAATATAGATGTGTATATGTAAATATTAATTCATAAAAATGGAGGTATTGGCATATGTACATATATTTATATGGCAATACATTGAGGCAGTGGATGGACTTTGGGCCTCTGCTCAAGCCCTGCCTCAACGCAAGAACACTTGTGATGCTCACCCTCCCAGAATGATCACTGGAAACAAAGTGGGCGCACAAGCAAATGTGGTGAAGAAAGCTGATGGTGCCCAGCTATCAAAAGATACAGCATCTGGGGTCTTAAAGGCTTGAAGTTAAACAAGCAGCCATCTAGGAGAGAAGCAACAAGCCCACATGAAAGAAGCACACCTGTTCAATCATGAGGTGTCAACAGGATTGGGTAACAGGCATCAGAAGACCCAAAACAAACAAACAAACAAACAAACGAACAAAGAAACATATTGTTGAGAACGAGGGGGGATCAGAGCAGACACCCAAAACCCATCTGTAGACCGTAGTCACAAAGGGTCACAAGGAAGGAATGAGACAAGCAGGGCACAGTATAGCACCAATGAAACACGATAGTCCTCTGGTTCCTTGAGGCTTCCTCACCCCCACTATCATGACCCCAGTCCTGCCTTTCGCTGTGGGCTAAACCAGAGCAGGTACACAGGCACATGTTAGAGCTCATAACACACAGAATCCAGGTCAGATAAACCCCTCAGGAATAGAAATGGGAGTAGCAATACCAGGAGGGAGGAAGAGGGTGGAGAGAGAAGAGGAGGAAGGGGGAACTGATCACAATGATGGACACATAACCACACCCCCTCCTAGGGGAACAACAATAGAAACCACAGGGGAAGGGAGACAATGCTCAGTATAAGATATGAAATTAATAATAATTTGTAATTTACCAAGAGGTCACGAGGGTGGGAGGGAAGGGGAAGAAGAGCTGATACCAAGGGCTCAAATACAAAAGGAAATGTTTAGAAAATAATGATGGCAACATATGTATAAATATGCTTGATACAATTGATGTATGGATTGTTATAAGAGCCCCCGGTAAAATGATCTTTTAAAAAAACACCTCACTGCCCTAGAGTCGATGTCGGCTCATAGTGGCCCCGACCCACTTGCTCACGGTCATGGAGTCCGTTCGTACTCAGAGTGACCCTAGAGGACAGTGTAGAACCTGCCCGGTGGATTTCCAAGTGTGTAACTCTTTACTGGCATAGAAAGCCTAGTCTTTCCCCCACAGAGCACCTGGTGGCTCCCAATTGCTGACCGTAAACCACTATGCCACCCGGATCCTTTCAACTACCCTATAATGAAAAAAAAACCTCACTGTTATTGAATCAATTCTAACTCATAGTAACCCTATAAGACAGGATAGAACTGCTCCTGTAGGTTTCCAAGACTACAACTCTTTCCAAGAGTAGAAAGTCTCTTTCTCTCATGGAGCAGCTGATGGTTTTTTGAACTGCTGACCTTGTGATTAGCAGCCCAACATGTAACCACTATGCCAACAGGGCTCTTAGCGCCCTGCTAGGACAGGGTAACACTGCCCCTGTGAATTTCCAAGACTGTAATTCTGGGAAAGTGGAAAGATGTTTCCTGCAGAGTGGCTGCTGGTTTCGACCTGCAGATCTTTTTAGTGGAAGCACGACAGCACCAGCCTTTTCAAAGGTACAGGAAATGCCTTCCCTCCCTGCCCAGCCTAGCACCCAACAGCGTTGACTGGTTGAGGCTGAGAGAGTGTGTGTGGGCATTCTGCTGAGATAGTCAGAGGTAGCTTGTGTGCCTTTCCTGTCTGGGCTTTCCTCCTGCCAGGAAACCAGAGAACCAAGGAAAAGAAGTCTAACCTCATCTTTCTCTCAAAGCAGAAAGATGCTCCTGGACCTCTGCGGGTCGTGCAGGCCACCTTTCTCCCTAAGGAGGTCCGTTAGTCCTGCAGCCCCAGATCCTCTGCATTGACCACCCAGGGAAGCAGGTCTTCATGCTCTATAGAATAATCCCTGCCCTCCAGATAAATGTCTCTCAGCATTACCTGCTGTCCATGTGTGGGCTGCAAATGAAGCCCTGTAATCTGAAAGATAACAAAAGGGGAAATAGTGAAAGCATTTACCAAAACATGTTACTTTTCCAGTTCATGCTTATTCAGGACTGCTCAGCATAGTCCTAAAACTTAAAACCTAACCATTGAACTCTTCCTATTTTAGAATATGAATTAAAATAAAGTCCAACCTGTAAGAGTTTGCATGTGTTGGCACCAGATGTGTGAAAGGGAGGGCACAGTGTTCAAAGATGAAGCTGTGTTGCCTATGCATCACATTAGACTTTAATCGACTTCTATTTAGGTACACTGAGCGGTACCCATCAATCGCTTCAGAACTGACTGCCTGTCTCTCTGTCTCATCTGGGTAACTGCCCCTCACCCCACCTTTTCCCGTATTTTCATAAGCGTAAAGTTCTGGCATCACCGAAGATTAAAGCTAGGACAACTTTGAGCACTCCTTCCTCCACTTCATGAATATAAATGCAAATTTCATCAAACTAGAAGAAATAAGAGTGGTGGAAGACAGTTGGAATGGGGGCCCTAAGGAGAAGATGAGCAGGCCTGGTTTAATATCTGTTGTAATGTACCATCTGGCCCAAGAGATATGTGGCAAACACTTGCCATCTACTAATAAATGTTTCTAAGCAATGCCAGTGTGATCTTCAGCACATTTTCATTTCTTTGGCCAATGATAGGTGTGTGCTATGTGAGACCTGTGTTCATTTTCCAAATGGGATTTAACTCTTCTAAATATCCATGTAAATAAGTGCTCAAAAATAATATATATTATGGGTAATTCAATGTCTACAAAATCTGAAATTGGAGTAGACATACATATGATGTGTTATGAATACAGTCCGTGAACTCTGATATTTCATATTCTCTTACATGACTGGACTTCATGAAAAATTACATTAAGAAAAAAGGAAAATTACATTGAGGGAAATTTTATTTTTTTCCCCAAGTGATCTTAAATAGCAAGGGAAAACTGAGTATGTATAACTAGAGTGGATCTTGATTTGGAAATCGAGTGCTTTTTCTTTTTTAACCTCTGAATGAAGGAAAATGTTACTTAAATCTGCAAGGAAGATCACAGAGACTAGGTTTTGATAAAGCTGAGTTTATGTGATCCCACCCAGCGTGGATAGAGAGCTTAGACAGCATTGGGGCAGTCACAGAAAAAGAGATAGAAACCAGGTCCTACGTCATGATTTGAAATTTCAAGGCAGCTATTTATTGTGATTAGTAATAGAGAGGATCATCATTAATTAACAGCAAATAGCATTACTGTATCATTCTGTATTATAAATATAATTGTATTACTTATTGTAAATATAATTGTGTTACTTATTGTCTGGACAGATCTACTCAGAATTGTAGCCTCTCAGAGGAAGGTTAAAGTTCTTCTGGGCCTTACATGTATCTCAGCCTTGTCATCCATGAAGTCTTACCACTTCTTTAAAAATGAGACACCCGTCACCTTCCTAGACAGCCTATGCCATCTTTAAAGTGGGTCTTGTTTTTTGTTAAGAAATTGGATGTATATATATTCCTTACCTATGGAAGATATTGTAACCGTGCATAGAAGACACACTTCTCTAACCTAAAGGTTAGACTCCCTTGAAGTTGAAAGTAAGCTAGCAATATCTAGCTAGTGAGTAAAACCCACAGACTTGAGAACTGTGGAGCTCTAAGCCCCACGCCAATAAAGTGGAATGTTATAGACAAAGCACAAGACTGAATTTAGCAAGCTCTGAAAGCCACCCTAGAGCTGAAACAAGGTGTCTTGGTTTCTCAAGTGTTACATCAAAGAGAGTGGATATCAAAAAACTCGAATGTTGACAGGTTGAGATGCTAAGCAGAAGGAAAGCAAGCTAGTGTTAAATCTATAGACATGCAGGAGGTCCATCCCAATCTTGCTAACACTAAAATATCAATAAATAACCCAACCCAAAAAAGATTACTAAAAATGCAAGAGTAAAACTAAAGAAAATAGACGTGTGCTTTGCACTCTCCTGTGCTCTTATCGTTTTTTGCACAGAGCCAAATAGAAAACCTTCAATCTCTTCAAAACTGACTGTCTGCTTGCCTCATCTGGGTAAACTGCCCCTCACCCCACCCTGTACTGTATTTTCGTAAGTGTAAAACTCTGGAGTCACTGAGGATTAAAGCTACGACAATTTGCGAACACTCCTTCCTCCATTTAATCAATGTAAATGCAAAATGTCATCAAAGTAATAGAATTATTGCCACGTGTACAGCAAACGTATGTCCACTATCTCAAATGTCCGGGCCCTGAATGGTGCTGTCTGGTAAGCCTTGGACTGCTCACCAACATGGCAGCAGTTCAAACCCACCATCCGCTCCTCAGGAGAGAGATGAGGCTATCTGCTCCTGTTAAGATCTGCAAAGCCTTGGAAACCCCTCCTGTGGTAGCAATGAGTCAGGATGAACTCGACAGCGGTGCATCTGCAAGTGCAAGGCCCTTGGGTAGTACAGATGATCAACAGATCAAGCCTACTGAGTGGCACCCTGGGGAAAGCCTGACACTGCTTCCTCCACTATGATTACAGCCAAGAGAGCCCTCTGACGAAGGGTGTTCACATGTGACTCAAAGGCAATAGATTGGGTTGCTTTTCTTTTTTAATCTTAAATTTAAAAGCTAACTCTGTCCAAACTGAAAATTCATGGCTTCTCCTTTCTGTCACTAAGACCATTCACTATAACTGAACCATAAAAATATGTCACGGAAAAAAACACACAAACCGAAAAGATTTCATATTCTAATTTTTTTATACTTATGGAACCTCAATATATCAGAAAAGACAATGAAATCCAATGGCTACCTGGCTAACTAAAGAGCATTTGGTTTTTTTAAATTAGGGGTGATATGGTGCCAACAACTTGCCATTGGCCGATGGCATTATAATACTGATAATGTTTGTTTTAATAAGTCGCTTGATTGTGGATAGATTACGTAGTGTGTGAGTAGTCTCCAACTCCACCTATCGAGACTGCTCTTGTTCTTGCTGTTAGTTGTCACTAGTGACCCCATGTGTGAAACGACTGAAACACCGCCCTGTCCTGCCTTCCCTGTCCTGTGCCATCCTCACAATTGTTTGTTTGAGCCCATTGTTGCCCCCCATGAGCCAACCCCCCTCATTGAAGTCTTCCTCTTTTCCACCAATGCTTCGCTTCGCTTTTTTGGCCTTATTCCAGAGACCGGTATCTCCTGATAACATGTTCAAAGTGCATGAGCGGCTCCTCCTCTAAGGTGCATTCTGACTGTCCTTCTTCCAAAACAGGTTTATTGGTTCTTCTGGTGATCCATGATGTTTCCAACCTTAATCACCACAATTCAAATGCATCACTTCTTCCTCGGCCTTCCTT